CCACTCATTCTTTTTATAAAAAAATTATTTGATTTATTTTTTAGTTGTGTTACATATAACTAGCCTTGTGTTTTCGCACTTGTGTAGGTTGGATTTGCTGGTTTACAAATTTTGATGCTCTCAGATTTTCCTAAGTTGATGGAAACATGGCAGATCAAGAATCCTCAAGAACTCTTAGATTTTAGACAGCTTCAAGTGCTGGAAATTTGTAATTGTAGCAAACTCAGGTACCTCTTAACCCATTCCATGGCCATAGGCCTTGTGCAACTCTTGCAGTTAATAGTAAAAAGCTGTAGGACAATGGAACAAGTGATAATGGGAGAAGAAGCAGAAAATAAAATGGAATTCTCACATCTTTGTTTGATCAATCTAGAGTCTTGTTTAGATTTGACAAGTTTCTATGTGGGAAGTTATAGTCTTGAGCTTCCAAGATTAAATGATTTTATTGTAAAGGATTGCCCAAAGATGATCACATGTGCTGTTTCCACATCCTTAGAAGAGCACGACAAAGAGGAATCCCAATATCTCTTTAGCAGCAAGGTCAGTTTCTTTTCTTTTTTTCCATTTTTCTTTATTTTACAACAACATGGTTAGTTTTTATTTATTTATTTATTGTAATTAAGATTTTACACTATATTTATCTTGCTTTTTGCATGTTGGTGTTGCCATCTCTACTTCTGTAGCTTCATGAATGAATCTCCTTAAACAAGTTCCACATAATATGCGATTAGAAAACAAAGACTAGTGGTTGGAACAACCACTTAAAATCTGAAGTTACTCAAGTTTAAAAACAGGATTATTGATCCAAATAATTTTTTTTTCTTTTTCACCTCCAAATAACGTTAAGTCCAAAAAGAGTTCACTATTTTCTACTCAGAATATCAATGTCCCTCACATAATTGCATGTTGTTTTCATGTTCTTGGTTTGGGATTATCCTTGTAATGTTTTTAGTTTAATCAATTTAAAAAACAAAAATTTTTGTTGAATATTCTATTAGGTTGACTTTCTCAACTTGGAGTGTTTAAAATTTCTTCAATTAACATTAAGCAAATATGATAGAATCATCTTCCTACAATGTTTTGTATTAACAAACTAACTATGAATCTTTGTAGGTGGAGACTCCCGACTTGGAGTTTTTGAGTTTGTCTTCAAATAACATTCATCGAATTTTGGACAATTCAATTCCAAAAATTTCTTCTTATGTCCAAAATTTAAGAAAGTTGTATGTGGAGGGTTGTGGTAATTTGAAAAATCTATTGACATCCTCCATGGTTAATAGTTTTGAGCAATTAAATTGGCTCGAGATTCGGGATTGTCATATGATGGAAGAGATAATACTTGCAGAAGAATCAATCGATGAGGAAAGGATGTGTAAGATTTTCTTCCCTAACCTGGCGTTCTTCCAAGACCTTCCAAAACTCACAAGATTTTGTTCTGGAAATTACTTGGAATTACCATGCCTTTGGAAACTTAAGATAAGCAAGTGCCATGTGCTAAAAACTTTCATCTCTAGCTTTATTTTTGGAGACATGAGAGCCAGTTCTGAAAATGTCAAAAGCACTTGTATGCCTTCCCTCTTTGATGCAAAGGTGATTTCTTTCCTTTTTTTCCCTTTATTTTTTATTTTTAATGTCTTATAGTGCTATTATTATTCTCTAGTCCTCATAAAGTTTTACATTTTAAGAAAATTAGATTCCAATATTTTTCATTCCATTACATCTATGATCATGTTTAATTTGAATTGAATTGTGTGAATCTCTAGGTGGCATTCCCCAAATTAGAGCGTTTGGTAATTGAACATGTGAAGAGCTTGAATAAGATATGGAGCGAACAACTCCAAGTAGATTCTTTTGGCCAACTAACTTTGTTGAGTCTAGTTTCATGTGAAAAGTTAATGAATATTTTCCCATTTGGTATGGTGGAAAGGCTTCAAAGACTAGACAAACTCCAAATATGGAACTGTGATTCACTTGAAGAGATACTTGAGTCTCAAGAACTTGGTGTTAACCAATCACAAGCTCAAAAGGCCACTCCGCTACCTTTGTTGGAAACCATCATATGCTTGGAGGATGAGTGAAGGATGAGATTGTCCTTAGCAAACTCAAGTATTTGCAACTTTGTGGTTTGCCTAGACTTTCAAGCTTTTGCTCGGTTAAATGCAAGTTTGAGTTCCCATTTTTGGAAGAGGTGATATTGATGGATTGTCTAAGTATGCAGACTTTCTCTATGGATGAAATAAGAATGCCAAAATTGCAGAAAGTAAAATTGATTGGAGATGAAGATGAAGGCTTTTGGGATGGCAACCTAAACTCAACCATACAACTACATTTCGTGCAAAAGGTATGCATTAATTCAAAAGATCTCCTTAGGTTTTTCTTCTTTTAAATTCTATCTATTTCTCTTTTTGTTTACTACACAAATCTTCATTTAGAGTCTTTAAAATAACAGGAAAAACTAGAAAGGTATGTATGAATGCTTGATAGATCATGATTTTGAAAAGGAAAATTTTCGCTATAATTTTTCCTTTCACCTTCAGTATTGTGTTTTTTTTTATGTCTGCAGAGTCAAGGCGATTCTGAAAATTGAGATCAAAGACATTGAAGCTCATGTCCTTTCCAAGTGTAATTTGATGGTGAGAGTTGGTCTTATGCTTCCATCATCTCTACACTCGTTTGATAAAGGTACATCTCTTGTAAACATGCATGGAGGTATATCAAGGCTGCTTTCTTAGTTCGTTGCAGGTCTGAATGGTGTACGCGTAAGTTGGGTGTGAAGTTGTCACATTGCTTGGTGCCCAGAAGAATGTTACCTCACTAACTAAAACTGATCCCTTTTCCCTACCAAAAAAAAAAGAAAAAAAAAAAGGAAGACAGATCTTTTCTATTTCTCCTACACTTGTGCAACTTGTATTATTTATTATTAAATTCATGCAGGGCTTTTAAATTCATGTGTTGTTTTATAGTATTAAAGAGCGAGTATCCTTCAAGAAACAAATGTTGCTTTCTTATATATAATTGTATGATAGAAGTACATTTCTTATATATATGGAACTAAATATATTGTGAGAGGTTGCTTTCTTAATTCCCATTAGGCCTAATGGTGCACTCATAAGTTGGATATGAACTTTGCATAGTTGTCACATTGCTTGCCACCCAAAATTAAATTGTCTGTTGTTTATGGTATTTTAAGGAGAGAGTATTCCGAAGACAAATATTACTTAATGATTATCAATTGAGTTTTGCGTACTTTGTTTTTAATTAGAATATAGTTTTTTCATTTTGATGGGTTTGCTATATTCTTTTTTCTTTTACACATAAGGCAAACCATAATTTTAAATATAAATTTTAGCTTTCGCATGCACAACAGATTTTGTTGACTCATAGGTGGTTTTTTTTTTGATACCTAGATCCCTTGGAGATTCACATTTTTTTACTTCTGTGTGTGATAATAGGCTACACAAGATGAGACAGATTGAGCAGCTTTGCGTATTGGAGATGTGCATTTGCACACCTAGAGCACAGTCCTTTCCTAATAGACGATTCTTTTTAAGTGATATTTAGTATCAATGGATGAGCTTACACTCCTTGCAGTTTTCCATTTCAACTTTTGGATGTAATTTAATATAATGCTTTTTACACAGCAAATGATTGAGAATTATAAAAATTTTTCTTTTCATACAAAATTCTTTCATGCATCTCAATTCACACCCAATCATGCAT